TAGATCCAGATTATTTAAAAAAAGTCCAAATTGTTAAGTGTTTATATAAGAATGGGCCTACACCGTATTTAATATTATCTGAAAACGTGTATGCAGACATTGAATAGTGGACCGTTTTTAAATTTATCCTGGACCAATTTTATACATATAATATTATGTGGACCCATTTTATAAATCTGGACGCATTTAGTTTAGACGTAGGCCTAGGCCTGAATCTGCCTAATCTTTAAAGTAATGGGTAGGCCTATTTTCTTTATAATTAAAACTAATTATAGACTAGTATGTGTGGGAGTCCCGACTGTTTCCACATGACTACGGCATTTCCAACTTCAATCTGGGTGCTTATTGGAAGGGATCTTTCTCCCGATTGTACGGTAGTTTTTAAACCTCTTTATCCCAGTACACTTTTCAGCCGAAAAAGTGTCTCTGACGGGATTCGATCCCGTAGCCTCCCGCTTATGAATGCGGGTGTCATACCGTTCGGCATTTTTGTTGAAGGGCTTGATAAGATTATTATAACATCAAGCACTGCTTTTATTGATTACCGTATTTATTTGTTTATATATGAGTGTTATTTTTTTAAAAATAAAAGACTTATTAATAAACATCATTCTTTCCTCCTGTAATGGGCGAGTTACTTCTTGACAATGAATGGATATAAAGTTAGTGTGAAGTGTGTTAAGATTGGTCGTCGGCCGACGCGATTCTCTGTGAAGAAAACGCAACGCCATGATCTCGCACGCAACGGATCGTTTTTAATGACGATCCGTTCAGACTGCCACCGACAATCAGCAGACGACGTGGTGTCGTCTAACGCCCACAGAGACAGAGGTTGGATTCGTCGGCCGACGGTCGTGCGACCGTCGTACGACGCAGTGAGTGGTCGGCTTTATGATAATTTCACACTTAACTTTAATTCATGATGGCTGTATAGGCAAGAGAAAAAAATAGTCGCTGTAGATACCAGAATTACGATTTTATTACATAAGAAGTGTCTTCTTCTGAGTTCTACATTAATTTTAACAAAGAAACAGCAATATTACATTGATTTATTAATTATGAGGTGACTCTCCAGCAAAAAAATCACATTAAATAGATTAAATTAATTAAAAGGTTTTAAACGTATGTGAAGCGTTTAGAGACCTTGTTGGCATAAAGTGCTATACAAATCTAACACATTACTATTAAACCAATACGGTATGGACTCCTCAATGAATAATCAAGAATAACTAAACTGATAACGCATCGTAAATGCAGTTCTGAAACTACTAACGCCTAACCAAATGCAATTGACTCATTTATTGGATTCGTCATTTTACCGTTAAGTCTTAGAACCTTGAAATGGTGGCGGGGTGGAGATAGAGGATCGAAGAAGGTGAAATGGGGTTGCTCGATGATTAGGTCAAGGGGATCGATGATTACGTGAAAGGTGTCAGCTCGCAAATTATGGTGAGCGTGACTTTTTTGTTTCGAAAATTCTCCATGGAGGGCGGGGGGAAGAGGGGTGGGGGAGCGCACCCCCTAGACGATACTGTTTACAGCTCGTCATGCTTTGGTCCGCTGAATTCACTCCAGGAAATCTCTCCATTCTTATCCCTGTCGTCTCTGTCTAGAACCTCTTTCGTCATTTTTTTCAATAAATCTGGGTCGGTAAAAGTTCCTTCAGATTTGATGAAATCTGATATCTAGAGAAAGGTAAGACAAAAATTATTGCAGATTTTAATTTCAAGAGGGTGACCAATTCTGCATTTGGGCTTTTAAAATATTTTAATTAATATCCTAAATAATAATAGTTAATTATATGTAGGCCTATAATTCAAAGTTTTCTTTTCAGATTTATTTGTTGGCAGTAGCCTATATCTTTACTGCAGGTTGTACAAACGTATAGTCACCCTCTATTGCCTTGCCAGCATTCAACCGCTCAATTTATTAACTTCTAGTTTTGTATAAACTACATACAGTACATACATAGGCCTACATACATACATACACATTACATCATTATAGCGCTATTTCATGAAGATCAGAGCGCTAAATGATAGTATTTAGCTCCGTCCACACATCAAATTTTCTTTGACAAAAAACTGTTGATTTCATTTCATTTCATTTCATTTTTTCATTTCATTTCTTTAGACACGAGCGCCAAGGATATGCCAATAAGTGAACTTAATCACTGTCCTACGTGGCATATCCATTTAACAACAGGGGACATAATGGACCAGTACACCGGGGCAACCCCCTACTCTTCTCGAAGGATCTGGGTTCTTTAAAGTGCACACGAGCCAAATGCGTACACTAGGCCTACGGTTTTTTAAAGTCCTTATCCGAGAAGACTTGTTGGCGAGTGAGCCGTTCGAACCAGCGCCGATATTAGAGCCCATATATTGTCATCTGTTCCCTGTTCTGTTCTCCCATACGAGATCCCATAGGCAAATTGACCGTTGGGGCACCGCAGATGACCTGGCAACCAGTTCTTTCCATTCCTCTTAATCCTCCGTCTTTCGTATAAAAGGCTGTTCATTCTGTGATGTTGTCTTCCCATATGATGTGCCTATATAGCCTATATGCCCCTATATGTGATGTCATCATGACCATATTTAGGCATTTTACATGTTTTTGTCAAATAAAATTTGATAGTTTGGACGGTTTCTTTAAAGTAAAAATACTCACCTCTTCGAATGAGAGAATCTTGTCATCATTTTGGTCTATCTTTCTGAATGTATTCGGCATGCCATGCCGCCAGTTCGGTTTGAATTCAATCATTTCCACATCAAAAATTAACGTTGCGCCTGGTGGTACCTTATCACCTTTGGTAAAGATAAAAATAGATTAATTAAACACTTAGAAATAAATGCATTGGTATTATGAGTCCGTTAAGCGTGCCAGTGACACGTGGTGATAATACAACGTCATCATTACAACGTGAGTAGTATCTTATCATTAGACCAATAGGAATGCATCACTAATTAGTATGAACTCTACTGTACTACAAGTATCTAAGTCGAGACTTTTTTATACCTTGTTTCGAACCCGCCGCCCGCCAATAATGATAGTTTAGAATAAAAATACAATTTTAGTTTTGACCAATTCGTATAACCCGCCGCCACAAAAATGGAAATTTAAAAAAATATAAATAAATAAATAAATAAATTTTTTTCTTTATTTTTATTACGCCCGCCGCTGCGTTGAAATTTCCAAAAATAAGATTTGTATATGCTTCCTAATTATATATATTTTAAGAACCATCCCTTTTCTACATTGTTTACATTCACCCTGTTATTTTTATTTTATTTTTTTCACTCTCCTCTGACGATCTTTATAAAAATAAATTCACGTAACAAGCTACAAAAAAAGTCCTAATTTATTTAATATACAAAACATATCAGAGTGGTTTGTGTTATAGAATATTTTCGCTGTATGTTTATGTGGTCGTCAAATAAATTTCCAAAGTTTAGTTCAATATTAATTATATTTGTTTACCTAGGCTAAGCCCAAAATATAAAAAGTTGTATTAGTGCCTTGTGTGTATCTCAAAACCAGATTTCACTTAAACAAGCCATCTACCTGATCTGATTATTGATTTATAATTCTATAGGCCTAGTTATTCTCCTCGCTATAGTTAACCTAAATCTCTTGTTTGTGAGGTTATATTTATCGTGATGTAAGATTACACCTAGAATATGTTATCATAGTATCATAACTATTTAGGTAGTTATCTAATAAAATATGAAAACAAAACTTTCAAAAGTAAAAAAAAAATCAATTAATGAAATTAACGCAATTGCGCTGATTTACATCTTTAAACATGAAGTCGTTCAATCGATTAATTCGAAAGTCGAGGATCAGAGAAAAATTTAGGAACAGTAATATATTTATGTCTATAGTATTATTATAGGCCCTATTAACAATATTAAAAGGAAGATATTTGGCACTTTTCCAATGACCTAATAAAAATTCTTAAATTACACAAGCTATTTAATAAGCCAATTCGTAGTTGTAACCGACATAAACCCAGACACATAACATAGGATCGGATTATTTCGATTTGACACTGGATACGAGCATGCGCAGCTCCAACGACGAATTTTATACCTGATCCTTGGTCTCCATACGCAAGTCTCGGTGGAATGGTCAGTCTTCTCTTTTCACCCATACACATGCCGACGAGACCATAATCCCAGCCTTTGATAACTTCCTGAGAACCAAGTGGAAATTCAATTGGCTCGGAGTCTTCGTTTACTCGACTACAGTGGGAAAAATAACAATAATAGGCCTAACAGTAAAAATAATAATAATGAATATCATCATCATCATCATCATCATCATCCTCATCATCATCATCATTATCATCATCATCAACATCAACATCATCTGGTACCTATTATCGTTCTTACCTTGTATCAAACATGGACCCATCCTCCAGTTTGCCTGTGTAATGCACCAATACCTTATCGCCATGGCTAGTCGTCTTCGAACACTCATCTGGCTTAAATGTAACTTCAATCTTCAGATCTTCTGGAATTTTTACTGACTTCTCGGATCTAACAGGTGATCCTATATAACAAAATAAAATAAAAAGACAAACGATATGTCTGTATATAGTTTTCATAATTAAAAAAAGCTCCGAAATAACAAACTCGATACTAACACTATACAAATAAGCCTGGAAGTGGAACGATGCACGCTTCTAATAGCCTATTTATACCATTTTTATCTTGGTTATCGAAACAGCAACATGATTGTGTTGGGATCTTTGCCAGCTGCTAGCCAAACTCCCAGTTCTCGTTTAATATGATATATTAACTCATGAGTTATACGTGTACATAATCTTCTTTCTACACGTTGATTAAATGATACAAGATCAACATAATATTTGAAAAACTTTCTTCGTAAAATCATGTGATTTCACGGGTGGGGACGCCAGTGGAGACAGGTGGAATGACCACCGTCAAAGTGAAAAGTAACACAATTAGTCAGGATAAAAAAAAATTGATAGTACCGGTAAACCTTTTAAATCCGTAAATTATTATAGTTTCTGTTTAATCATAATGATGTCCTCTCTCAAAGATGATGGAATTGCGTGTTCCTCAAACTCTTTAAAAGTTCAATTAAGACGAATGTTTACTCCAATTCGTAGATAGATAGATAGATCACATGACAAAAGTGTCATTAACTGAAATTATTGTGCTACTACAGTCATTAGTTCTTATTTCTACAACTGCAAGACTATTTTATGTCGTTATTTTTTTACTACAATACTTCTCATTACAGATGATTTTGTCAATTCCGGTGTTTCATTGGATGCACCATTAGCTTTCCATATAAGTATTTCACTGTTTTGGGATTTCTGCAGATATTATTCTCCTGAAGACAATTGAAGCAATTACTCAATCGAAACGTCGAGATATTCTCAACCAACAACAGTTCTTTTCAGAAGTATCTACGTGGTGTACCGCAAGCATTAATATTAGGCCTATACGTTGATTTTGCATCAACGGTTTTGCTGTATAACTTGATATTTTTATTCTACAAGTTCCAGCATATACAAACGGTAAAACATTTCCAGTTGTTATATATAGGCTAATTATTATCACATACTTTATATCAGTGGTGGCACAAGCCCCTCGACGACTGGGTTAGTAAGCGAGAGAAGAGAGACTATACCGGTAGTTGTCTTTTGTTTTATTAGGTAAATCTAACAGACAAATTTTGAATTATTATTTTCTTGCCTACACACACTTCAAGCATCTTCCTACGTAAGGACGAGGTCGTAAGATAACTATAATATTAATTTGCTAGCCTAACTAAAATATTAATTTGCCTATTTAAATGCAGTTAAAGCCAGGCTGCGGAAGAAAAAGATTTTTTAATATGTTGTACAACTGATTATTCTTTCCCCCAGTTTTCAATTATTCAAAAAACTGTATCTCATTAACCATTCCCGAGTTTTTCGTCAAATATTTAATACAGTATTTTGTGTCTTAGAAATTCAGTTGTACAAAATATGAAAAAAAAGTTTTCCTCCGGAGCCTGGCTTGAATGTGATTGTCAACCTGATCTAAAAGCACAATTTTGGGCCATTTTAAACCATACAATCTTTGTGTAATGTAACCCCACCAGTGTTTTTATTCCGGGAACCTGGCTGAGGCTCTAGGTGGCTGTAGATTCTGACCCGCTGTCGGACACTAGTATTATACCAATAGTATGAAAATAGTTAGACGTTAAAGTTTAGATACTCTTTGAATGAGCTACAATTCAACACTCGATAATTAAATTTCTATATATTTTTCAGAGCTAAAGATGGAAATATTTAAAATGATTGTAGTCCTATGCTATATAATTGTAATAAGCAGCAACCAAGGAGTCGTCGAAGGTAATAAGAAAGATTCCTTTTCAATAAAAGCGAACTGTTGCCATAGATTGCTAGTGTTCTGACCGCTGGCTAGTTCTCCTATTGCTGGTGTTACTTTTGTTATATTTGTTGCTGTTGTTACTATTATTGGTATTATTATTATTATTATTATTATTATTATTATTATTATTATCATTATTATTATTATTATTATTATTATTATTATTATTATTATTATTATTATTATTGTTATTATTATTAGTATTAGTGTTATTATTATTATTATTGGATCACATTACACATGTCTGCTCGGAGTTGAAGTCGGTTTTGATTGAGACGATGGTTTATGGTTTGATCGAGAGGGTCGAGTCGAGCAATGCTCTGGGAATCAATTCGGTTTGCGTTGAGTGTGAATGAACTGGTCGTACGTGCACTTCAGTAAAATTATTTCGTAGAGGCTGCTTAGCTCAGTCGGCTAACCTGGTGGTAGCCACTGTGTGTGCGCGCTGAACAGTGGAGATCTTTAGGTCCTTGGTTCAATTCCCATCCCTGCCTCTCCTTGTGTTTCAGACGGAGGGCTGAAGTACAATTTACGATAGCGCAATTCACCACCAGAAGGATCCCGAAACAAGTTTCAGACTTCCTGGGTTATCCTTGGTGTGATTCACACCAAAATTATTTATCTAAGACTGATTCACCAAAATTAGAATTAACCACTGATCAGTTACCCCTTAGTCTGCCTTTTGGAGGCTGCGGAGTATTGGGACGGGTTCAAATATTTGTAAGAAGGGTGCAGAAAGAAAACGAATACTACTGTGTAAATGACATAAGTTTAAATGACGAGGGAAACCGTTCTGTCTTCTCATCCTCCCATCTTTTTTGAGAAACTTAAAAGACAAAAATGATATAAGATTAACCTGAGAAAATTTTCTCATAATATTCAAAAGAAGCTAAATACCAAACTTTTAATAATTCTGTAGAAACGCAATGAAGGTTCACCGTTTGAAATGTGAACATATTATAAAATTTACAACATTGTTATTTTTTTTTCACGTCCAGCAGCAGGCCAATCTCCAATTTCGGGAAGAAAATATTACTGCTGTTATTGCTACTTGCTGTTGTTGATTTTGCTTGTCCTGTTACTGCTGCTAGCATCGGTGCTTCTGTTGCAGCTGGTGCTTGTGCTGTTGTTACTGGTGCTACAAACAATTGCTGTTGTTTTTTTGTTGCTGTTGCTTGCTATTGATGTTGCTGTTTGTGCTGTTGCCGATGACACTATTGCTGTTGTCACTGTTGCTTTTGCTGATGTTGCTGTTGTTACGGCTGGTGCTGGTGATGTTGTTGCTTTTGTTCTGTTTGTATTATTATGTTATTATTATAAACGACAGGCTGGTGTACATGGCAGAATCATGGTCAAACGTTCGAAATTGCTGACGACTGTGGAGCATATCACATCTGTATAGTCAATAGTAAAATGTATGTTTATTGCGATGATGGTTTATGGTTTGTTGGAGAGGAACGAGCAGTAATGCTGAACATCAGTTCTGGTTGCGTTCCGCCTGAAATAACTGATCGTACATGCGGTCTAGAATTAGATAGTAAGCAGACTGATTCACCAAATGTAGAAGAATTAACCACTGAGCAACCAAACCAAATGACTGATGCTACATGTAAGTATGGATCATATGCCACAATTTTACATTCAGAACGGGTGTCACTCTATTTAGCTAAAATTCACATGAAGACTCACAAAATTAAACTAAATGAATTGAAAATCTATTTTTTACGCACTCAAAAATGGCGTTATTATACTTCATTTTTCAAACGGCCAACATCTCCAAATGCTTACCGTGTTTTTATACCATTATGTTTGTAAATAGTTAATTTTGTTGAAAACCGGACATCACCACTTAATTAAAGCATTCCAACGACAACTTATAATAAATGTTAGTATTATGAATTACTTTAACAGGGAATAATTAAGAAATTGTCGTTATATATACAAAAAACCCCTTTCAGAATGACACATGTAACCTAACTATGTTTAATGGCTAGCTGATGTTTTTTGATAGGCCTGCATTAAATTAACGTTATTATAACATAATATTAATGTCCAATTTTTAAATTTGTTGTAACATTAATGTGTCGTTATATTGTGATGCTTCTTAAAGATATCGGTATAACTCAGAACTTGGGAAAAACTACACATAATTTGTTTTACATTGCTACGAGTCAACACACGGAAACAGAAGGAATTGCAAGAAAAGAAGGTTCTGATTTTCTATATTTAATCAAATATAATATTCAGGCATACATTTAACATTATTATAAGATTATTGTAACGTAGTATAGGCCTATTTAGGATTTTTTATTTTTATTTTGATGTTTGCTAGGTACCAGTACACCTCAGAGCTTAGACAACACTACACGTAATATTTATGACATTGAAACTAGGTCTACGAGTCGACGGCAGAGGGAAACGGAAGGAACAAATCCAGAAAAAGAAGGTTTAATTTTCTGTATTCAAAGTATTTAATTTTTTTTCACCTTGAAGTCGCAACTCCCTTAGTGAGCCGGCCTGTTTTTGTTATATTGTGATGCTTCTTGAAGTCAGACTACGGAGGAAAAAAATTGATATGTTGTAGAACTAATTTTTCAAGACAGAAAAAAGATGTTTGACGAAACACTAGGGAACGGTGAATGAGATACAGATTTTTGAATATTTAAAAACCGGAGGGATAAGGTGTAAAAAAGGCCGTTAGGCCCCTTTTCCCCCAGTTATTAAATATTCAAAAATCAGTATTTCATTCACCGTTCCCCGAGTTTTCGTCTCACATTACAGCTATGAGTCAACACATGGAAAACAGAAGAAAATACAAGAAAAGAAGGTTCTGATTTTCCGTATTTAATAAAATATAACATTCAGGCCTACATTTATCATTATTATAACATTGTTATAACATCGTTTGTTAGGTACCGGTACACCACAGAGCTTAACCAACATCACACGTGATATGTATGACATTGGAACTAGGTCTACGAGTCAACGGAACATGGAAACGAAAGGAACAAATCCAGAAAAAGAAGGTTTAATTTTCTGTTTTCAACGTATTTTTTTTTTAAATTTAATTTTTTAAATCTATTTTTTCACTTTGAAGTCGCAACTACCTTAATTGAGCCTGCGTCGCCACGTTAGTAGTGACACGATAGTAGAGTCGAGGCTTATCCTAGGTGTGGAGCCCAGCATACTGACGCAGGGTGTGTGCGTGTGTACACGGTTATGGTGGCGACGCAAACTCGACATCGGGATTGTGTCACATTTTCTTCCCTTTCGTGTTCGCGGTTTGTTTAATGTTTTTATCTACACTGAAACAAATTTATATTAATTCAATTTATTTAATACCATTGGCCTGTATATAAATATTCAAAGACGAATGGTAAATGGGGATACAACATAACACTTCCAACGTGATCCTCAATATAACTTAGTTATATTTTGGTTCTTGTATCGTTTGGTATTATAAAGTAAAGTTGTTTTTTGGAATACTATAATTCAGCAATGTTATTTTTGTTATTGGTTTTAGCCAAAAATTATATGAAGAATCACAAAATTAAACAAAATGAATTCAAATTTATTTTTTTACGCATACAAAAATATCGTTATTATTATAATTCATTTTTCGGCCAAAATGTATGTTGTCACTACTATTAATCTCAAAATGCTTACCGTGTTTTTATACCATGGTTACGTAAACAGTTAACTTTGTTGAAAACCTGATATCACCAGTTAATACAAACGTTTCAACGACAACGTTTAATAAAGGTTAGTAGTATGAATTACTTTAATAGGGTGTAATTGAAAAATTGTCGTTCTATATACAAAAAAAAAAAAGAAGAAAAACAAATCTGTAACGTAATAAGGTTTAATTGTGCTGTCACAGAAATTGATCCCAGGACCTTAGGAGAAGGCAAGCATCTTAACCACTAAGCTATTCAAAGCCATTGTCAGCTGACTGCATTCAATGGACCTTTCCGCTAAGCTCCGCCCCTTGGATATTGTTGCTTAGGTCCCACAAAGACAGCAGTGTTAAAACATACGCGAACACGTGCGTTTGTGGGACAACACGTGTGTTTGTAAGACGCGCGCGCATTCCTAGCGCTGTTCTGATTAGTCAGTTGTTAAGTTTGATTGACACTCTGGAAAGGTCTATTGTGCTGTCACAGAAATTGATCCCAGGACCTTAGGAGAAGGCAAGCATCCTAACCACTAAGCTATTCAAAGCCATTGTCAGCTGACTGCATTCAATGGACCTTTCCGCTAAGCTCCGCCCCTTGGATATTGTTGCTTAGGTCCCACAAAGTCGGCAGTGTTAAAACATACGCGAACACGTGCGTTTGTGGGACAACACGTGTGTTTGTAAGACGCGCGCGCATTCCTAGCGCTGTTCTGATTAGTCAGTTGTTAAGTTTGATTGACACTCCGGAAAGGTCTATTTTCCATAACGTGTTATTGTTTTGTTCTTTAAAGGTGAGGGTACAATCCACAACTGGGCAAACACTGATGTTTTTTTGTTGTTGGTAGGCCTGCATTAAATTAACGTTAATTTATAACATAATATAGATAACATAATTAGATTTGTTTTACTATTAACATGTTGTTATATTGTGATGCTTCTTAAAGGTACTAGAACAACTCAGAACTTGGGGAAAACCACACATAATTTGTTTTACATTATAGCTACGAGTCAACACACGGAAACAGAAGAAAATGCAGGAAAAGAAGGTTCTAATTTTCTGTATTTAATAAAATACCGGTATCATATTAACGTCGTATATTTAGGATTTGTTTTTTCCTAAAGCTTTGTTATTTTGATGTTTCTTAGGCTACGGTCACACTAGAGTTTCAAGCCTGGCTTGACTCACCGCGGGTGAGATTTTCGTAATGTGACCGCATCTGCACCGACTCGCGCCTGGCGTGACCTCGATCTCAATCTACCTATAGACAAAGATACTAGAAATACAAGATAGAGTTCTCGCATTGTAAAAATGAGGCGGAAGTCGTGCCCAACGTAGGCGGCGCCCTTCTTTTTAACCATGCAAGTTTCCTATACTTCGTGCCCAACGTACAGGGCGCCCTTCTGTTGCTAAGTGTATCCAGACGCAAAAGGCGCCCTTCCTTTTCCACTAATGAAGGAAAACTTTTTCACTAAGTGTGCGTCCGGCCATGCGATTCTGCGCAGTATTGTTGTTTTATTCTTTACTGATTAATGATTATGCTTTAATTGTTTTGTGTATTATTTGGATAATAGCAACGATTTCTACCGCCACCAAGGAGGTTATGTATTCACCGATGTCACTGTCTGGGTG